CATAAAATTCCCAACAAAAACCAACAAAACAACAAAACGTATAAACCAATGAAAGCCTAAATAATGTTTTAAGAAAATTCCAAAAAATAAAGGTTTGCTTATAGACATAATATCATTTCGACAGAGCATCATTCTTAAATACAATAACATGATATATAAAGTCATAATGACTTATTGCCGTAAAACAAAATACTCAGAGATTCATCAATGAATGAGTAACTCACGACACACTGCACGGAAATCCTCAGTGAGATGAGACCCTGCTCTCCCACACAGTACAGCAGAGGGCACAGAACAACGCTCGTCACATATTCAAACAGAATCATTAAAATGTCTATACGTTAAAGACACGGGCCACTGAGAGCCCGAGGTGGGAACTGTACAACAGTCTAGCACAATCCGCTAATCCGCTTTGACCCGCGGAACCACAGACATACATGTAAGGTGCGCACACACGATTGTTGGTTCCCGTTGCCAGTTGCTTCTACTAGTGGGCTGGCGACAGGAAGGAGCGGCAACGCCTGTGTGTGAAGAGGTGGACATTACACTTGGAAGGCAGCCGGAAATCAATGACTTGCTTGAATAAATACATAAAACATGTATTATGTATTGCGTCGTGTTGAAATCAGGCGCTCGTCAAAATAATGAAATCGAAGAAACCGATATTTTTCTGCCCATCCGGCAATTGTTATCGAGTTTTAATTTTTTGTCTGTCCACCTTTTACGCTCATTTAAAATTAAGAAAAACAGATTTTCTGTGCAAATTTTACTGAAAAAACGTGGATTAAAAGCATAAAAGAATGTAAATGTGCCGCTTCTAGTAGACCATCTACTAAGAACACTCAAGGTTTGGGTGCCATCAAACTTTGGCGGCCATTTTCTCCCCTATTTTGCATCTGACATCAGGTGACCCCAATTTCCTTCAGTCGCAAATATCTCGACATCAGTTCAAGAAAGATGAGTGTCATATTTTAAAAAAAACCAACAACAAACAACAAGACCGAGGTGAACGTACAAGCTTAGATCTAACGTCTTAAGTTGATAACAAGAACTCCGTATGACTAACACTTGTCGAGCGCCTGATTCCACTGTGCCGTGACACGCGTCCTCCCAAAGCCAGACAGATCATATTATTATACAATGAGGGAAGGGTTGACGTTCACAGTGCTCCTGTGGCAATGTCTGTATAACTTCAAATGAGGCTACAACTGAATGTGCTCTTACAGCAACCTGCCCAAGACAACCACCTGTACAAATGACTACTTCTCAGTCACCCCCCCCCCCTTTTTTTTTTTCTTCTTCTATTTTCTACACTATAGGGGCCTACTGAAACTATCCAAGACGTCCACCTGTCTAAGACAACCACTTTTCTCCAGACAACGGCCGATCCTCTTGGACAATGCTGACTGGACATTCTTGTCTTTTACCTCAGCAGACAGCCCAAAGGAGGCAGGCAGTTCAGGCTTATTTCAGCGGTAGCCGTGATCCACTCCGCCGAGGCTTCGTTGTTCAGTATGGGCGCTGATCGATCTATCATGTTATTGGCATATCTCTGGTGCAGCCTCAAATCTGTGCCAGGAGGCCCGTCGCCTTGAGAAAACCTGCCTCACGCGTGGCTTCTCCGCCGGTCATTGTGTGGGGGCATAATGCCGGTTGGATGGTTGCTCGAGTAGCCTACCGTAACTGAAACAATGTGTGTGTGTGTATGTGTGTGTGTGTGTGTGTGTGTGTGTGTGTGTGTGAGAGAGAGAGAGAGAGAGAGAGAGAGAGAGAGAGAATTTCTATCTATAAATAAATTCGCAGTTTCAAATGACACTCAAGTGTTGGAAGTCACCAAACTTTCGCAGCCGTCATTTTCTCGCAAATTTTACTTTTGACTCCAGGTGGTTCCCATCTCCTTCAGTCACAAATATATCGACTTTTACTCAAGATACAAGGGTATTTTTTCATCATCAAATGCAAGACAAAATGAATACACTCTAAGATTAAATCAAATACTCCTCCTCATGCCAAAGCATTGACGAGCGCCTGATTCCACTGTGTCGTGTCCAATTTAAAAGCACATACCTTTGTGTAAATACAGCTGTAAGGTCGGCAGGAGATGCAGCACCCTAACAGAACATCAGAGATGTCCAACAAAGTAAATGCCCTACA